ATGGTGTACACCTGGTGTCTAGGCAGAAGTTGTCTCAGCAGGGTGTACGGGTTGGGAACAGTGAGATGTATGGTCTCAACCCGCTTATTTACTTCTCTGAGGTCCTGTACTGGCCTGTAGTCTTGGGTACCTGGTTTCTGAACTGGAAGCAGTGGGGTATTCCACGGCGAATGACAGGGGACTAAGATCCCTTCATTCAGGAGCCTCCGAATATGCACTGCTATACTAGACTTAGCCTTCTAACTGATGGGGTACTGCTTTACACTGATGGGCTGGGCAGAACTCAGTAGGGTCACAACAGTAGGAGACTGATGGGGTGCCAATCTGGGTCGGTTAGTCTCAGCCCACACCCGAGGGACCCTGCACTGTAGTTCTTTTAACAGTGATGCATTAGGGGAAGGATCGAAAACAGGCTCCTCCAATAAAAGGTATTCAGAGAGGGGGCAAGTGAGCATTATTGCAGATGGATTGGCCTCCAGAGTTAGTTCAATGTGTCCTTCTTTAAAAGAGATGGTGGCCCGTAATTTTTGTAGTAAGTCTCTCCCTAGCAAAGGATACGGATATTCAGGCATAACCAAGAACAAATGAGTGATGGTCCCTTTTCCTAGGTCAGTAATTCTGGCCTGGGTCCAAGGGTAAGATTTCCCTTGTCCTGTGGCTCCTTGTATTAAAGTCTTTTTTTTTAGATAGGGGGCCTTGGGTATTCTGTAAAACTGAGTAAGTAGCCCCCGTATCCATTAAAAAGTTTACAGGTTGGCCCCCGACTTGCAATGTTACCCTGGGCTCCCGGGGGCTCATAATGTAGGAGCCCTGACCTCCTTATTCTGCATCCTCCAACATAGTGAGTGGAGCCTTTTTTCTTGGGCTCTGGCCCTTTTCGGGGCACACGTTCTTTCAATGTCCTTTCTTCTTACAGTATGCACATTGGTCCTTCTCTAAGTTACTCCGACCCCAGTCCGCCTTTCCCTCGGGGTGTCGGCTTGGCCCTCGGCCCTGTCCTGGCCAGGTGGGCCCCGTGACTTATCCTGTCCAACAAACATAACCTTCTGGACATCATCCCTGTTGGGCAATCTCAAGCAGTTTAGATAAGTTCTCTCCCTCAAACCCTTCTAGTTTTTGTAATTTCTTTCTGATATCTGGGGCCAACTGACTAACAAAGGTTAGATTAATGGCTCGCCAATTATTTGGGTCCTCCGGGTCAATGGGAGTATACAGTCTATAAGATTTTAGTAACTTCTCTAAAAATGCTGCAGGTGACTCATCTTTAGTCCTCCTTACCTTGATCTGTGTTGGGATTCCAGTCGGGTCAGGTGCTGGGAAATACAAGTTGTATATGTGTGGGGTCAGTGGTGGGCTGCCCAGTGGGGTCCGAGAGCCCTCTTGCAGCTTCCCTTAGAATGCGTTCCTCCTT